TAAGATCTGGGTCTTTTTTTCTTTTTTTTTTTTAAAAGATTTATTTATTTATTTCCGTCTCTAAAGGAGACGATGTCCACTAAGATGTTGTCAGAAACCCTTAAACAAAGAAGGTGAGAGGCCCAGGACCAGTGAACCCAAGATCCAGTGTCATGTTCCTCCAGAATCCTGTAACAGATGCCGACTCATGGTGCTCTGAAGAAACGACACACGAAGGAAGATGAGAGGCCGCAGAAGATGCTAAATGTTTGGTCAAGAGAATGAAGGAAGCCAAAGAAAAACACCTACAGCAGATTACCAAGAGATGTAGGCTGTCCTTGCGGAGCGCTTCTGCTTCGAAGTCTGAGTCCAGTCAAAAGTCCGGGTGGCAGTGGCGCACACCTTTAATCCCAGCACTTCGGAGGCAGAGGCAGGCGCATCTCTGTGATTTGAAATCAGCCTGGTCTACGCAGTGAGTTCCAGGACAGTCAGGGGTACATAGAGAGACTGTCTGAAAAAAATCCCCAAACCCAAACCAACCAACTAACAAAAACAAAATAAAAACCCCAAACTTCCAAAAGGAGTAACAAATAAATGAGCAGACCCTGAATCTTCAAAAACAAAGAAGAATAAACGGGAGGCTAGAGAGCTGGCTCAGCATCTGCTGCTCTCACAGAGGACCTGACATCAGTTCCCGGTACCCACGATGGGTCGCTCACAACCACCAGTAACTCCAGCTCCAGAAGGATGGATACCCCCATTCTGGCCTCCCCAGGCACTGGCAACATACATCCACACACAAAATAAATCTTATCAAAAGGAATAAATGATTTCACTAATATATTTTTGGAAACACTGGGTATTAAATGTAGGTCTTTGGGCATCTGATGGAAGTGTCCACCAGCGATCAATACAGCGATCAATACAACGGTTTCTTCTTCTGTGATACACACTCTCACTCTGCAGCTCCCTGGGTAGACAAGGCTGGCCCCAAATTTGCACCAATTCCCGCTCTCTGCTTCCTGAATGCTGGGGTTACAAGCATGAGCTACCACGCCTTGCTCAATAACTCGTATCTAGTTAAATTTATTTTATGTGTATGAGTGTTTTGCCTGCATGCATGTCTGTGCACCATGTGTGTGCCTGGTGCCCACAGAGATCAGAAGAGGGTGTTGGATCCCCTGAACCTGAGCCAAAGATGGTTGTGAGTGGCCACGTGGGTGCTGGGAAGAGGTCCTCTGGAAGAGCAGCCAGTGCTCTTAACCACCCGGCCATCGCTCCAAACCAGGAATAATTCTTTTTGATTTTTTAAAAAATAGTTAAAGACATTTTTATTTTAAAGATGATAAAAGAATGTCTCACCTACTTTGTGTGTGTGATTTGAAACTCGGTCGTAAATGTTTCTTCAAAGCTCAAAAACATTAGTTTATTTTTCAGACAGTGATTTTTTTTCTATATGACCCAAACTGGCTTTGAATCTGTGACCTCCTTCTTGTCTCAGCCTCCTGAGTGCTAAGATTACAGGTGTGAGCCACCTCGCTTTGTTCCAACAATTAACTGCTTCCCGTTACTTGGGAAATGGAAGACATCGCCACCAAATAATTCTTGAGCCCTGGTTGTGGTCCTAGAGCCAGAAGTCACGAGGATGCAGGTGAGGATCCGGGGGGGCAAGCATGGTAGCGTGGAAGATCACACCTACGCTGTGCTCGTCGGAGCGATCCCTATTCACCGGCACGGATGTGCGTCAGGAATGCCCACAGATGGACCACTCTGGAATTCACAGTGACTCTATGCCTACACGGGGCCTCCCCGAAATTCCCTGCAGGGCATTTGCCCCTCAGCCCTCATCAAGTCATTTCTTCCTCAGTGGTTGTACACTTCGAGCTCTGGGCTTCAAAATTTCCTCTCATTAAGTCAACGAGCACTTTCCAAGAAGAAAGAGATGCCCAAGATGCGTGTGCCTTCCTGTGCGGTATGTGTATGTGTCGGTGTGTGTTTGCGCGCACGCGCATGCACAGTTGTGACTCAGGCCTCTGCCTGCCTTGAGGGTAACCTCAGCGTTTCCTTCCAGCCCCGCTTTCCCCGGGGCCGTGGCTGGCAGCCTTTTGAAAGTGTTTTCTGGAGAAAAGCTGAGCAATGGTTTTGCCATGGGCGGGCCTTTGATCTCCTCCTCACGCTGGCCCTTTATATATTGCCGGGTGGCCATGGCGAACCCATCAAGCTCCAGAGGCCACGAGCAGAGCAGGTTTCCCTCCAGCCTCTCACCGTCGTCATGATCTTCCACACAGGTACCGCTGGCGCGGGCGCTCCCCATGGCTTCAGCTCCATGGCTCTTATCATACGAGGGGAATGAGACAGGGACAGCCGACCCATGAGCCTTCTGGAATCCTTCTCTTTCTCCAGGACCAACGAAGCCTGCCCTGATGCTGCTCTGCTGCATGGGAACCTGGCTGGCCATCTGCAGCCTACCCTTTGGTGCACCAACAGCAAAGATCGGAACTATACTTGAATTCTTGAAAGGGGACTTGGAGGAGCTTTATAAAAACTATGTAAGTGCCCTTGAGATTCCTTTTCCAAACCACTTCTTTAAAATGCCTTACTTTGCTCTCCAGAAAAGCTATCCTTTCTCGATGTGAAACCAGCTCTAGAGGCCAGAGAGGAATGGGGAAGAGTCAGAGAGGCTAGGGTGGGATGTTTATGAGGGGGTGCATGCACTAACAGAGGAGGCAGAGGCAGACTAGTCCAGGGCCCCAAGCCCCAGCCACGTCCCGAAGACTACAGGATGTGTTCTCACAGCCTTCTTTATCTCACATCTGCCTGGCTCACAGTCCCACGAAATGAGCGTTCTTACTGGAAGTGCATCTTTTAGAGATGGGCCAGCTTGATTCAGGAATCCCCTGAGAGCAGAAGATATCCTAGGGGAGGCAGGTTGAGAAAATCCTCCCGTGGGCCTCCGGTGCCTCTGGCTAGTTCAAGGCAGTTACCTAACTGAGCAACTCTCTGTGTGTGCTGTTGGAGCTTTCTGGAAGGCCCTCTGCCTTGGCAGACCCTGGCAGGAGAATAGCACAAGACCCAATAAGTGAGAATACTTCACTTCCTCGGGACCTCTCGGATAACGTCAATTAAACAAATAACACCCAAACTGGAAATGACACTGACTGACTAGACTGGCATCGACATTGTCGTCTGCCCTGGCTTTACCCTTGGCTTTAGTAGACTCAAAGGTAGAAGAGTCAGCTGAGGCCGATGGGGTCTTAGCAATTTGGTCTTACCCCAAAGCTGTCAGTTTTGAGGAAGAGGGAGGGTAAGGACGGACCCTGAGTCCTTCATTGGTTCGAGAAACTCTCCCTAGCATCTCAGAGGCCTTTGCAGGCACACATGAACCACCCTCTCTCAGCAAGTGGCATCAGCGGCATTCAGACAGAGGCACGAGGAGGAGGGAGCCGCTTGGAAACTCAGATGAGCCTCCTTTTCCCACTTACCTCAGCCTCAGCATCTGAGAGCAGGCTGCAGAGGGCTGGCGTGGCTTCAGCCAGATGGGGAGAGGAGCAGGAGCGAACAGTGCTTATGAGGACCCTTAGGCAACACTAACATGGCCGACCTGGGTGGGTATGCCTTGTCGGCCAGCTCATAAACCACCTGTGCCTCCGATTCCTGCAGACGCGGGGTTAGTGATGGTCCAAGCCTCACGGGGTTGCTGTACCAATTAGCTGAGGTCGGAGTCAGGCTAGACACAGAGGAAGCACTGGGAACGAGAAGTCCAGGTCTCTAGCAGTTATTACAAGCCCAGTCCTCACAGTATTTCAAACCTCTTCCTCTTTTTACAGAGCAAATGCCAGGCGGCTGGGATGGAAACTGACGAGTCTCTCCAGCTGCCATGTTTCACCCCGGGCTGCGAAGCGTCAGCCAACATCTCAACCATCAAAGCCTATCTGGAGGAGGTCGAGAGGCTGAACGAGAACAATATAAGCACAGCTCATATCAGAAAACGGCTGGACGACATCAGGTGTTCCGACCCACCGAAACCAAGCGTTTCTGGGCCCGAAGACTTCTATGAACGTAAAATCTTTACACTGACTGTCTTTAAGAGGCTCTCAGACTGCATGGCAAAATTGGGGGCTAAGAATAATACATCCGGAGTGATGGGGTAGATAGAGCTCCAGGGAAGAATCCCAGCATCCTCAGCAGCACCTGTCCTGGGAAAGCTGGCCTTGCAATGCTGGAATTAACTCGAAAGAGATTGAGCCATTGTGACAAGCTTTGTTATTTATGATGTCTTTATTCTGTCCACCGAAACCTTAGTCTTCTGCCCTTGCGGGGGCCGGAAGTGGCAGCTGTATTTATTTATTGGTATTTATGTACTGAGTTGTTATCGCTCCTTGAAGGAGCCCTCAGAGTCTATTTAATAAATTATATTGACATGATCTCCTCCTCTGGTTTGGAGTTTGTGACGGCGCTGAAATCAGAGGGTGGGAATCCAGCCTGGACGGCGTTGCTGAATGGGAATGTTCTGGAAATAGCCAGTGCTTCTGTCACTATTTCCCTCCACTAGATAGACTTACGGACAAATAATGCCAGCATGCACCAGGTGTCTGTTCAAAGACATTTTCTTTACTCCAGGTTGTAAGCATGATCACATGGTCCTTTTGATATGCAGGCTGGGAAACTGAGGCAAGAAGTCACTTAACCACTTACTCAGGTTGACACAGCTGCTTAGTGGTCTAACCCAGATTCCAGCGTGCACTTTATTATTCTACCCGACCTTAGTCCTTCCCTGGGTAGTGACAGGGTCTCGGAGGTCTCGATGCCACGCCTGGTCCAGGGCAGTAACTCAGGGTCCATTGTACAGTTCCCACTGCATCCCCAGGGTCTTCCCACCTCAACAGGGACTTCCTCACAGCAGACATGATGAAGCTTGCTGCTTGAGTAAAAGCCGACAAGGTCCTCAGTGGGCATCTGGAAGGAGGGGGGTCTCAGAGTGACTGGGAACCTTCAGCAGCGATAGCACCAAGCCTCATGTTGGAAAGACAAAGCCTTGATCCCCCCTGCTCACTTGCATGGTCTATGCATGGGGCTAGCAGCTTAGTTTTGTTTGTTGCAAGGCCGGGGTTTGAACTCAGGGCCTTGAGCATGTTAGCACTTAAGCGTAAAATAAACTGTCAGCCCAGGTCGGGTCGTCCTGGTTCTGAAGCTTCCTAAGCCTTCATATGCATACGTTATCACACCAAGAACCACACTAATCGTGAGCCAACCAGCACTTTCATTGTCTCTTTAGGAAAACCGAGATCCAAAGGAAGAGAAGATGTGATGTGCTAAAGGGCACACAGAAGGGGAGATGTGGTCAGGATTCGGAGCTGTAGAGTGAGGAGTCAGACTTCCCATTCGTTTTTTCTTTGTGGTTTTTCAAGGAAAAACTAAAGCAGCCCTGGCTGTCCTGGAATTCACTCTCTAGATCAGGCTGGCCTCGAACTCACAGAGATCCGCCTGGCTCTGCCTCCTGAGTGCTGGGAGAGGCAGGTGGACCTCTGAGTTCGAGGCCAGCCTGGTCTACAGAGCTAGTTTCAGGATAGCTAGGGACACACAAGAGAAACCCTGTCTCCACAAACCAATACACACACATACACACACAGAGCAGGAATGAGGAGAACAGGAAAATCATCAAAACACTTCAGTAATTTCCAGGAAAATATGAAAATTAGAGGAAGCTGGCATGACTTCACATATCTCCCCTGTAACGAGCATTTTTAAATGTGATGGTTTGCAAGAATGTCCACAAATTCTTGCTTATACCTCCTTCCTGCAGACATCACCGAGCTGAGGGTTCACGTTTTTTGTTTTTGTTTAGGAATTAACTCAAGAGAGATCATGCCATTCTTTTTTTTTTTTTTTTTTTTTTTTGGTTTTTCGAGACAGGGTTTCTCTGTGTAGCTTTGCGCCTTTCCTGGAACTCACTTGGTAGCCCAGGCTGGCCTCGAACTCACAGAGATCCGCCTGGCTCTGCCTCCCGAGTGCTGGGATTAAAGGCGTGCGCCACCACCGCCCGGCTCATGCCATTCTTACTAGCATTGTTATTTATGAAATGTTTCTCTCCAGTCCACTGAAACCTTCTTTTTATATCCTTATTGGGTGCAAGAATGCAAGTTCTACTTTGTGGGCTGGGGAGTGTAGTCCTGGCTGTCCTGGAACTCAGTATTTAGACCCAACTGGCCTTGAACTCACAGAAGGACACCTGCCGCTGCCTCCCGAGAGCTGGGATTGAAGCTATGGGCCCCATGTCTGGCTTTTGGTTTTGAGACAACGCCCTACTTTTATATGTAGCCCTGGCTGGCCTGCAGCTGCTGATCCTGTTCCTGTTAGAGCTTCCTGAGTGCCCAATGATAGACCTGTGCCACATGCTCGGCTCCTTGGTTTATTTTTCATTTTTATTTATTTATTTATTTTTGGTTTTTTGAGACAGGGGTTTCTCTGTGTAGCCCTGGCTGTCTTGGATCTCCCTCTGTAGACCAGGCTGGCCTCCAACTCATAGAGATCCTCCTGCCTCTGCCTCCCAAGTGCTGGGATTAAAGGCGTGCGCCACCACTGCCCACCTCCTTGGTTTCCGTTGTTGATTTCTGTGCTGGGGTCAAGCTGGAGTCTTCTGCCCAATGCGCTCATGCTGGGTCACTGAACTCCACACTCAGCCTCTGAAACATGGTTTGCTTTTTCAATTCCGTTCCTTGGTCATACTGACCACAGTCCAAGTGGCTTGATGGCCGGCCACACTCTCCTACACGGAACAACACAGATGCAGAACATTCCCGTCAGCGAGGCCAATTCGATGGAGAGGATTGCATTTGATTGACACATTGTCTACTACCAGCTGAGTCCCTGAGATGAGAACCAAAGCGGTTTCCATGGTGTAGGGGAGCTGGCGCCAAAGGCCAGGGGAAAGGGGCCAGGTAGGGGCTGCACTTGAGCCGTTTCTTTCCGGCTTCCTTCACGGACACATGGGACCTAGCTCTGGATCAGCCGTGTGTGCGGATCCTCTCGTGAGGATGTCCCCGCTCTGCTGGAGGACCATTTCGATCATCTGAGATGCATGTTTGGAGGCAAGGAGAGCGTGCCGCCCGGAAATGCGAAGCCTTCTCAGCAATCCTGACCAAAGGGCCAGACTTTGAACGAGGAGCCCATGACGCAGAGCAGCGGGTACGGTGGGAAATGAATCCTCACAGGAAGAGATGGAACCGCAGGGCAGCTACGGCCTGGGAGCAGGAAGGCTATGGTCTCAGTAGCGGCGCAGTGCCCCAGATTTAGGTGGTGACGAGCAATGAGGTCAGAGACTCTGGGGGCTGCTGCCCATCTATCTCTACTCCTTGCTGCCCTGGAATCCGACAGAAGAGGGACCGAGCTGGGGTCTCTCAGCCTGTTCCCCGTCACTGAAAGCCCACAGTTCTAGAGATGACTCAGCTCCAGGCTAGGGGACTCCACAGCAGTCTTCTGATTAAAACTACATTGTTGGGGCTCAGGGGTAAAACGCTCGGAGTGTAAACATGAGGACGTGAATTCAGCTCCCCGGAGCCCAGGGAGGTAGCGTATGCCTGTAATTCCAGCACACCTAAGATGGGACAGGATCTGGAAACAGGAGAATCCCTGCACGATCACGGGCCAGCTAGCCTAGCATACACAGTGGTGAACGAGAGACCTCGTCTCAAATGAGGTAGAGGGTTAGTATTAACATCTGGGGTTGTCCTCTGACCGCCACACACATGGATACATGTACACATACATATATACACGTCATAGACAGATACATAAAAAAAAACCAACAACACTTGTCCATAAGGATAAAACAAACACCTTATGACGGGTATGATTCTCCTCTTTAATTCCCTGCCTGACGAGACATGAGACGTCCCAGCGGGTAAAGCACCTGTCACTCAAGTCTTGAGATCCGAGTTTGATGCCGGGAGCTCAGTAAAAGCCAGATGTGGTGGCACACATCTGTAATCCCAGCGCTCCTACAGCAAGATGGGAGGTGGAGTCAGGGGAATCGCACCGACTCTCATGGGCCAGCCAGCACGGATCACGCCGCAGAGCAGAAACAAGAGAGACTCGCCTCAAACACAAGGTGGAAGGCAAGAACTGACTTGTGGAAGCTGTCCTCTGACTTCCACATGAGTGCTGTGGTATGCACATGTCTGCATTCTTACACACACACACACACACACACACACACACACACACACACACACACACACACACACACACACACACACACACAGGAGCAGAGATTTGTTCACGGCCACTTGGTCCCATTGCTTCTGGCTGCTCATCACAGCACAAACGTGGTGGAGGAAACTCTTCACCCCACGGTCAGTCTGGAAACAAGGAGAAGAGGGGCTGGGGTCCCAGGAATTCCTTCAAGGGATGACCCCAGTGACCTAGCTGTCTTCTATTATTAAACACGACACCACTTCCCAGCAGTTCACTGGCTGGTGACCAAGTTTCTAACACATGGACTTTGAGGGATGTTCCAGATCCAAACGATAGCACTGTACTATATTATAGAACGCTATAAAATACTATACTACATCAGACAATACAATACTATGCCATACAGTATCATATTGTACTATACAATAATATATTATACTGTACTGTACTACACCATACCCTACAGTACTATACTATGCTATAGAATACTATACTATATACTATACTATATATAGTGGTTTGAATGAGAATGTCCACCAGAGGCTCATATATTTAAATGCTTCTTTCCTAGTTTGTGGAACTATTTGGGAAGGATCAGAAGGCGTGGTCTTGTTAAGGAGGTTCACTGGGGGGGGGAGGACTTTGACGTTTCAATAGCCCACGCCTTTCCGAGTTAGTTCTCTCTCTCTCTCTGCTGTGTGCTTGTGGGCCAGATGGAAGCTCTCAGCTACTGCTCCATCACTGTGCCTGCCCGCCTGCCGCCATGCTCCCCGCCACGATGGTCACAGGCTCTAAACCTCTAGAACTGTGAGTTCCCAAATGAAATGCTTTCCTTGATAAGTTGCCTGGGTCATGGGGTTTTATTACAGCAATAGACAATTAACTAAGACATTATACTGTACAAGACAAGACTATATACACAATATAATCCTATCCTATCCTATACTATATTGTTGTTGTTGGTGGGCTTTTTAGACAGGGTCTATGTAGCCCTGGCTCTAGCCCAGAATTCCCGATGTAGACCAGGCTGGCCTTGAACTTGTAAGTGAACCTCTTGCCTATGTCTGCATCAACAGATCTAGGTTTTTTTATTTTTTGTTTTTCAGTGATGGACTTTGCTGGGGAGCACTCTACCATTGAGTCACACTCCCAGCCCTAAATACCTTTTAGCATTATCTTAGCGTGT